GAAACGTTCGTTGACTTTGTTCCGTTCTTCATGCAAGCTTCTGACATTCCTGACCTTCTCGAATCCACAATTTATCTGATTACCCCAGAAGATCTGCGAGCCCTCGCCGTAACGACCTACGCCATAGCACTCCCACATCTCAGTTTCAGCAGAGACGAAACAGAAATACGCGAACTGATCGAAACTAATTGCCATTCACGAAACCACCGCCGTGGTCAACACTCGCTTTGCCGCGACTGCCACCGAACATGGAATCAATTTGGTAATGACGCACGCTGCAGAGAAATAATTTGTGAGAAATTTCAAACAGTTTGCGCGAAGGCAAAAAAAATTATAAATAAATAAAAATGTTTCCCTTGTGGCGTGTATATATTTTTTATTGACATGTGTTTCCATTTTTTCTTTTTTTCTTTTTCTGTTTTCTGTTATTTTATTATTCTTCTGTTTTCTGTTATTTTATTATTTTTTTCCAGGCAATTATGCATTACGTTTTCTTAAAGACTATTATGTAGAAGGAAATCGTAAGTTTAGATAAGGTTTTGCAAAACGTAGTAAAAATTAATTAAAAGTTGTTATTTTTTGCAGAAAAGTTTTTTAATAAAACCCATAAAAAGTTACAGGAGTTAACCCTAAAAACTATACTCAACAAACACTTTAGACCACACTTATATGTTAAAACAATATATTATAAAATACGGGCTGGCAGGGAGTTTAAAGTTTGTTGTATAAAATAAAAAAGTTTGTTGTATAAAATAAAAAAGATGGGCAGAGAAGATGAAATCTTCACTAAACATGCAGATCTTGCTATGAGCCCATGTTTTATTTTAGCTTATATGTTTAGTTTCAGATTTCCATTCTCTACCTGGCAAAAAACGTTCTTAATACAAAAAGATTGACAGAAAATGTCTGCAATGTTTCTACGATAATTGCTTGGTGCTTCTGGCTAATAAAATATTAGGATAATTATATTTTAAAATAATAATATTTCTGATTTTCCTGATTACTACCCTGATAACTATTATTGGGTCAATTTTTATGTTACCAAGCAAGTAGTGACATCCATATTGCACTCATTTTGGTTAAAATGAGTGTCAACAGCAGCTGCGAAGTTGGGTTTTTCCGGTAAATTTGCTGTTTTCCCTTAAGTGACAAAGTAAGTAGTCCCAAAAACTTGAGTTTTTTCTATACTTTGTTTAGAGTTACTAGCCTGTTGAAATTGTTAGAATCGTTCATTCAGGTGTAAAACACCCAATAACTTTAAATCGGTGTTATGGTTCCTCTCTATGTTATCCAATTCTAGGCACATTTTAGGATCATAAACCCCAAGAGAAAGACCTTTGGTTTTTGAAGCCAAAGAGAATGACCCCTGGTTTCTGAAGTATTGATCAATGCACCCCTTGCTTCGAAAAAGTAACTGTTTTTGCACAAACAGTTTTACTTTTTGAAGAAATTGACTTTACGTCTCACTCTATTCTGCTATCCGCTCTGACCACCAAAACGAGAGCTTCGGCAACAGAAGAAGAGAGAGTGGGTTGCCTTGTTTGACTCCTTTTTCCGTAGAAAAGAAGACTGACAGGAAACCGCTATTCAGAATAAATGCCGAAAATTTTGAACATAGGGTGTTAATAAAAAATACAAAAGTTTCTCCAAGGTTGATTTTTTTGAGAACCTGCAGCAAGAACGCACGATTGACTTTGCCAAACGCCTTTTCTTAATCTATTGACAAAATGAAACTAGGTAGATTTTTAAATTCCGCGTAATCTATCAGATCACGGACTAAATATAAATTTGAGAATATCGTTTTATCTAGAATTCCACAAGTTTGATTTGGTTCTATAATTTCCCCCATTACTTTTGCAAGTCTTAGGGCTAGCGCTTTTTTTGATTAATTTATAATCAGCGTCGACAAAGGATATGGGTCTCCAATTTTTAAATAAGTAAGATCTCCTGGTTTGGGGATTAGTGAAATTATTGATTTATTGAGTGGCTAGTATTTCCTTTTACAAAAAGAATTTCGTAGACAAGTTCTTCAAAATCTTTTTTTTTTTTTGATGCTATCTAAGTTTGGGTTAGCGTTTTGTTGCTCCCATTGGATTTCGCTTTTAATTCTTTTGATATGTTTTTTATTTTTCGCACTTTTCTATATTGATAAATGTTGTAATTCAACCTTAAAAAAAGTTTGCAGTCGTTCCATATAAAATTGACGAATAGGACCGTTTTTTTGTTTGCCAACCTTGAAGTAAAAGTTCAACATTTTGCCTATGCACCTCTATTTCCAAAAGAGAACAATTTTATTTCCAGTGTCCTGATCCTCTCCTATTTTTACTAAAATTGACAGTTGTTGTTAGGAACTCAGAGTCGGAAAAGAGGTTGCTTAGAATTTTGATGTATGTTTCTTTATTAACGATTTTATCAGGGCAGTAAATTCTATCGAGTCAACATTTTACTTGCTGACTTTGCCATGTTTGGAAATTTAAAACGAAAAACATCTACAAGATTATACTTAACCTGGAAGGCCTCGAGTCCGTCAATGCCTTACATGTAATATTTTGCGTTGTTTGTGCTTTCTGTGTTCGAATTACGACAGCTTAAAAGCATAAATACAAATATGCCATGCATTATTAATGAAAAACGTGAAATAGAATTAAAAATATAGAAAAAAAGAGAAAGTTTTAGCGAACAGAAAAAATTTGAGTTTAAAATATTTCGAAAAAAAAATTAGAAGTTGAAAACAAAGCAAAAAAAATAATTTAAAAAAGAAAAAAAGGGAAAATTTTTTTTTTACCATTACTTTTCCGCACATGGTTGACTTTCATAGTCCTATTCAATAAATAAAATATTAGCATCGTCCTCGCTAAACCGTTGGTCGATTTCTTTGGGTAAAAATTCTTCTTAATAAACATCGCCTCTGTTATTTTCAAAGCCGTGGTTTCTGTTACCAAAACTGTTGTGTTAGTAACCTTTTTAGGGGTTTCACCCTCCGACTGTCAAAGTTTTTTTTTAGTTGACTGGGTAACAATTTTTTATAAGGTTTTTTTATTAAGGTAACTTCGTTTATTTTCTGCTTGGACGTTGATGTCGACGCTGCAATCATTTTCATCAATGTTTAAACTATCTATGTTGTTACTTTCATTTTGTTTGTTGTTTACCTCAGTTGGTTTATCATGTTTGGGTAAAATGATTTGGTTAGCTTTTGGGTTATTGTTTTCCGGTTGGCCGTCATGTTTATATCTAAAAGTGAGCCCATCTACGGTTTAGTAGCGAGTAAGAGGTTTTTGAGATAGGGTTTTACAATTTTTTATAAAGATAATAACATTTCTGGTGTAAACTTCTTCTCCTTGAACCTTATTTTTTTGCAGATAAAAGGAATCAAACTCAAACTCAAGTGTCGGTTGCAAGGTGTTTTTTCCTAGCATAATAAATGTGTTTTGAATAAAATACCAATTGGGATATTTTGCACAAGGACGTGTACTTTGCGGACAAACCTTTTCTTGGAACTGTAAAATTCCGCCTACGATTTCAATTTCAGCTTTTCAAAAAAAAATTAAAAGAGTTGATTTGAGTAATGGCTTTTAACTCCCCAATCATTTGCTAAGAGGTTTTATCCAGATAAGGCAAATAAATCTCGTTAACACTGCAACTTTAGTCTCCATACCTGCAAATTAAAACGTCAAAAAGTTCAAAAGGTTGGATTTAAAAATTCCAAACGTCTTTTTGCTTGAAAGCTAGAAGAAACAAAAGAAAATAATTAATGCGCTAACATAACTTTTAGCCATTAAAAAAAAGATAACTACTATATTTTCTTTATTTTTCAATAAAATTATCTAAAAGTAAAAACCACAAACAAGACTTTTACAAAGTTTTGATATCTTTTTATTCGATTATTATCTTAAATGCATTATAATTATTATGTTAAATTAATTTCGAGCCACTACAGAAAAAAAAACATACTGAAACTTTTTAGTCCCTGTGTTTTTAATTCCTATGTCAACTTATTGCACCTCCTAACATCGAGTGTAATCCTGTCCGCTTTCTCTGTGCTGTCTTTCTAACACGACTATTTCTGTCTTTCACTCTAACATTTCTTCGTTCTTCCGAAACTCACTTTACTCTCGGTCCGTAGAGCGGGTTATGACGCTCCATGGGGAGCCGAACCTGTCTTTGCGGTACCTTGGTAATGTGGCCTCTATATAGCAACTAGCCGGAGGAGAATAAACCACAATATCAATTCATTTTGGGCCAGCTAAATTCAAGTTAATAAATAAAATTTTGGAGAACCTATTTCAACCTATTGCACCTCCTAACATCGAGTGCAATCCTGTCCGTTTTCTTTATGCTATCTTTCTAACACGACTACTTCTGTTTTTTACTCTAACATATCTTCGTTTTTCCTAAACTCACTTTACTTTACTCTTGGTGCATAGAGCGGGTTATGACGCTCCTTGGGGAGCCGAATCTGTCTTTGCGGGCCTTGGTAATGTGGCCTCTATATGGTAATTAGCCGGAGGAGGATAAACCACAATACCGATTCATTTCGGGCCAGCAATGCATTGCTGGCCCGAAATCAACTTTCGTCGTAGTGGCTTACGACTATTCGCCAAAGTTCTGGCGAATTATCGTTTGTCGCTCGCCGATGCGATTTGCCGTACATAAAAAGTTGCTTAAATCGCTTGCCAGACTCGCGCCATTAATGGCCCTTTACTTATATAGTCGCAACGGCGTGTAATGATTTGCCAGAGTTCTGGGCTGGAGTCGTGTGCTGTCTGTGGGGTACTGCATCCTGTATAAAACTTAATAATGGTCGAGAAACCTTTTTTAAAATTTAAATCAATAAAGAAACGAAAAAATGAACGAAAACCTTTAAAAATAAAAGAGGCAGATTCAAAAGAAGAAGGAGAGGTTTCAAGTGAAAACGGAAACGAAGCTGAGTAAGAATCAGAAAACAAATTTGAAAAAGCCAACAAAGCTAAAATACGTACACCAGTTCTAACGCGCGGAGGAGGAAAAAAAGATAAAATATTTTAAAACAATTTATTAAAAACCAAAATGGCAGGGGTAAATGTAAATAATTTTAGATGACGATTGGTTGAGGTTTTGTAGAATCATCGTGTTTTAAATGTGTTCGCAAAACGTCAAGAATCTTTGGTATGTTTGAAATTTATTTTTTCTTCATATAATACGATTTTATCTTTCTATTTTTATATATTTTTTGTTTTTAACAATAATCATTCTTTATTTAATTTACAATATTACTATAATCGAAAGCTTTCTTCTAATCTAGGAAAGTATACAATTATTAGAAACATCTTTAATGCTAATAATGACTTTAAATTTAAAAAACAAGTGATAAAAAATTAACTGAATAAAAATGGATAGCCTAAGTTTTTTTACATCAAGCGTTAATGGTTTGAGAAACGCGGAAAAGCGGAAAAACAATTATCAATTCCTAAAAAAATAAATCACACGAGTTTTTTCTTCTACAGGAAACTCATTTTTTAAGTACTTTAAAAAAATTAGTGGGTTGAAGATATTTTTAGTTCACTAGGAACTCGTAAAGCACGC